GGGGGGGGGGGGGCAACTTACTGTTCTTGTCATCGTGTTCATGATCTCTCTATTGTGGAGGGTATATTTTAAAAATTTTGACTGTGAATAGAAATTATCCCGAAAGAAAGGATGAGTTATACACTCATGAAAAAAAGAAATGTGTAGGTGTGAGCTCTTCTTCTAAGAGAAAGGTTTCCATACCTTCTTTTTTCTGCCACTGAAAGGTTTCAAGGAAATATCAGGTATTCGGTAGTTCCAAGTAAATATCCTTACCAGAACACTTCTTGATTCCCTGTACTTTTTCAAAAGCTTTGTCTGTTTCATATTAAGTTTATGGTTCTTCGCCTCTCGTTTGAGAACTTTCTCTATCTGTGGAGTCATTTTCATCTTTGGTTTGAGACGCACTCGGTAGCTATCAGGAACCAGGAACTGGAAGCAGTAAGGACATATCCTTTCTAATCCACATCCCTTATCTACAGATTGACAAAGGCAAAAGAAGAAAACTTAAATGAAGTAATTATGTTTTAGAGGCATACATCAAAATGGCATGTTTCTATTTTAACATTATCTAGGTACATGTTTTTATTTTATCTTTCAGGTACTACTAGGATGTGAGAGGAAGCTGAGCACCAGTATGTCCTCTCAGCTGAGCACAATTCATGCTAAGTTTACAGGCAGCCTAAATTTACACAACACATAACTATACGCTTTCCTGAAAAAATGTAATTCCATACTAAAAATCTGTAACGAAGGAGGCTCAGAGTTCTGCAAGGAGCTCCAGGCAGGCTCACTCTTTTGCCAGATCAGTGACACCAAAGCTCTGTAACAAAGCTCTTTGCCCATTTTAAGTGCAAGAAGACGGCAGCATCTCAGCCTGGGACGAAGGAACGCTCTGAGGTAAATTTCACACCTAACAATAAGAGGCTCCTGCTGCCAGAGCTGGACTCCAGCATCTCTCAACCCCTGCAGAAACACCTGGCCCCTGCTGCCTAGAAAGTTCGCCATTGCTGCCAGCAGCCCCCAGGCCCACCCTGGCGCTGGGGTCAATGGGCGGCAAGGGAAGAGCCTGCCTTCTAGGGGCCCTGATTCTGCCCCTCCGCCGCCCGGGCAGCCCCTTCGCGCCGCTCTCCCACCGTCGGGGCCCGCCGGGAGCCCCCTCGCCGCCTCCTCCTCCTCCTCCCGCAGCGGCCCCGGCACCACCGTGGCCCCCGGGTCCCCTCACTCGCCTCGGGAGTTGCGGAGCGTCCACCTGCAGCGGGAGAGAGGCACAGCGTCACGTTACGTCACGTCACGTCACGTCAACCCCGGCCACTGCGCGGCACCGCAGGCGCGAGGACAGGGGGCGGGGCCACCCACGTGCGTCACTAACTCTCTCCCGCCCCCCCCCCCGCTCCCCCTCCCGCCCCCACCG